GGGGGGGGGGGGGCTTAATGTGGGAGGGAACCGGAGTACCTGGAGAAAACCCATGTGGCCGGGCAGGTGACCCCATACCATTTTTTCATGTCTCATCAGGGAATCAAACCCTGACCGCCTTGGTGAAAGAGGAGTGTGTAACCCACTGTGAAACCCGACCATATACGTATAGTTAATATCTTACAATTGATTTTTTATTTTTTCTTAAATTTTAGATCAAATACTCACAATCCAGTTACAGCAAGGGAAAAAGGCACCCAAGATCACAATTCCATTCAGGGATCCCGAGGCTGCTCCCATGAAACTCAGCGACGCCTGGTATTGGGAGATAATATTGCATATTACCAGTAAAAGTCTCAATGAAATTTTTAGTTTTTTAATTTTCTCCCTTCAAAATGTTCATTGGGTTGAGATATTGTCTTTGACATGTCCTTAAGATTCAGAAAAGATATCATCAGTACATGTAATACCAGACCTTGAGACTGTTCAGTATAATAAAAGCCAGTCTAACAAGTTTAAAGATAATTTCTGACTATAAAATATATATGAAAGTGGGTTGATTGTATATCTACCTGCAACACTGTTCCTTTGAGATTCTTGACAATAAAAGTGACCATGATTCCTACGGCTCCATAGACAAACACTGCAAAACATCGGGATAAGTAACACCATTAACTGCTGTGTACCAAGTAGTGATGGGACGATTAATTGATTAATCAATTAATTGATCAATTTCAGACCAAGTTTAGATTAACTGATTTCAATTTCTGATAAAGATTAATCAGAAAAATCTTGATCTACTTCTAATAATCTACATGAACTTACTATTGCTCCTTCGCCTGTTGTGATTGAATCTTTTTTCTGATGTACTAATTTTTACTCATACATACTTTCGGGTATCCAGACGAGGAGAAAAGGACCAAATTATTCAACCATTAAGAAAACAGAAAACCTCTACCCTTGCCTTGTCTTAAACTACATTTCATCAGTACTAAACTAAGAGATACATTTTTAATGAGAAAGACTAGATTTAATATACACATTTTGCGATGACACTCACCAATACTGCGTGTAATCAGTGCCTTCGTTCTTTCTGACTTGAGTTTAAAGTGAGGCTTTAGAATATCCTCCCAGGTGGTCGCACTTAGTGAACTCAGATTGGACGACAGGGAACTGGGGTTAAAGAAAAGGAAAACACTTTTAGTCAGTACCACGTGAGGCAGGATTGGAATTCCAAATATTCTAAATAACAATCTATAATTTATCGAAACAAGTTTTGGGCCATGTGGGGCAGTAATTCTGAATATTCTAAATGACAAATTATAATTCATCGAAACAAGTTTTGGGCCATATTCTAAATACATTACAGTAGAAATGAGTCAAATTTCTGGCCCTAGAAATTTTGACTTAAAAAAACAAACACCTTCATGTCAGTCAACTATTCCTACCAAGTTTCAGTAACATTAGCCCATTATAACTTCAGCTTAGATGTCATTCACTTTTAAATTTTAAGACACATTTGAACTCTTCCAATTCAAAGGTTGGAATAGTCCATTATGAAATTTCAGGGGTGAATGAGTTAAAACTGATCAAAGAAAGTGAATGAATGTTTCGAATCTCTCAAATTAGGTCCAAAAATAGATGAATTCAATTCCATTAAACAAAAACATCATATAACAGTAATTAAATTACATTGGTCATCAACTGCATTTGGGTTTTGAAACATATATTCACAGCTCAGAACAACTATTTGGATTGATATGTCTCACCTATGCCCGCTTTGACCATCAATGCATATATCAGAGAACTAACTTGAACGCAAAAACCTAATGTTGATGGAGATGCTGACAAAGTCAATGGACCATGAAACGTAGGCTGTATCCAGCATTTGATGCATGGGTTGAGATGTACTACCTAAGATGCATCTATGGTCCAAGTTCGGTTAATCTAGCACTTAATTTTATACTTTCAATACTTTGCAATTAACTTAAACGCAAAAAATTAATGTTGACACTGTCGCCGTAAAAGCAAGGCCTTAGTCTCTTGCTTCCACTTCGTGGTGGTGAGACAAAAACTACCTACCTCAGTGCCCCACTAAAGAGACACGCTATAAATAGTCCGGGAAGTCCTGGTATGTTGAGAATGTCCAGGACGAAGTGGGGAATGAGCTGGTTCTTGTTCTTTATCATGCCACTGGTCAATGGGTCACATCCCAACTGGGCATAGTATGCGAACGCAGACACACCCATCAGACACGCCCCCGTCAACAGGATAAACACGCCCAAACAATTCACAAGGATGGCTCTGGTAAAGACAAAGGTCAACAAAAAGGTCATAAATGCAAAGTCTTTTCTCACTATTTTTGGAATAAAATATATATAACTTCCTCTAAATTCAATGGCTTTCATCTCTTTGAGAGAATTCACGGACACAATGCAGTAACCTCTGATACTGGATTTTGCTGCTCTCTACACGTATCATGTCAAATATCCCATAGCTGTACGTCATTTATTTCGAATGTAAACCAAGTAATTGGCATGGTTCCCCATTGATCACACATACAATGTATGTGCTTTGTTCTTTATTGACACATTTACAAATGGGAGTTAAGTAGCCTGCTGTCTGTGTTCACAGAACTGATTGTGTATTTCTATCCTGTTGTAATGGGATACAAATGATTGCTTGTTGCAGTACATACACATTCTAAATTTATGACAGTTGACTTTATGAAGAAAGCATTAAATTATCATTTGTAAAAGATAGATCCACTTACCTTTTCGCCTCTTTAAGACTCCTGAGAGCACAGTAGCGTTGAATACTTGACTGGCTCGCTCCGTACGACCCTACCCAGCTCAAGGTCGTCCCCACAATGAGGCCCCAGAAGGTATGACGAACTGTAGGATCGGGGTCAAAACTGGAAAACAATCAGTCACATAAACATCTATTTAAACACATACGGATAGTCTCATGACATTCACTTTCGTCACGAGTTGAAAAATATTTATAATTGACCTTGCACAACCTTGACCTTTGACCTCCATCTTTCTGTGAAGTAATGAGTTAGAAAGTGATGTTTCATTATTAAGCTTATATCAGCCAACACTGTGACTAACATTTGACAATGTTTGCAGCTTTACTCTATCTCCAAAGCTGATCTGTTGGCAATCAAATTTAGTGATCTTCCTCTATTTTATTGAGAGAAATTGACTTTTGACATTTCGTTATCATGCATTTACTAGGTACTCACTTCCAAAAGTTAACTCTGTCCCATTCCTTATTCAATCTCCACACCTCACCAAACCCTCCAACCTCCAGCACCCCCTGGAGGAGAAAATCATAATAGTATTTAATAAATATATAACACCCTATCTAATTTGCAAAAGTTCTCAAAGGTACTTTAACTCACATGAATGCTAGTATTCCTATAGTGACAGTTATAAATGACTTGGATATAAAAAAAAACATACAAATCAGCATTTTACATTAGGTAACAAGATATTTATGTCCATATGCATATAAATATATGTATATACTAAAATTTGGTTTTTATATATCCTTCTTGAATTATGCCAGAATTTTTGACTTCCTGGTAGCATATTGTAAGCTATTCCACGATGTGGCTGTGACCCTGCCAAAGCACAGGTTTCCAAATATTGATGTAACTTCATCCCATACAATCTTTTTTTCCTTGGAGCAGAAAATTCTAGAACAAGAGGCCCAGAGGGCCTGTATCACTCACCTAGATATGTTTAAAGTCATTGATAATATGAAGTAAAGATATAGCAGTTAATGGTAGGTACTGTATGTACATATGAAATTTCAGAAAGATCGTTCTAGTACCTCTGGAGATATAGCGAGAACAATCTTCAAATAGGGCCCCACCCATCTGCCCCAAGGGGGGCCATACCCACTGTTTATACAAAATTCAGTCCCCTCGGCCAAAGGATGATCCCGACTAAATACGGATAAAATCCCTTTATCCTTATGGTAGAAGAAGGATTTTAAAAGTTTTACCTCTACTTTCCATATTGGGTCCCACTCCTCTGCCCCCAGGGGGCCACACCTACTATTGCCCTCGGGCAGGTGAGCTTAAAATAAGTTCTTGTTTATTTGGACTTACATCAAGGTAAGTAGGTACAATGTGAGTAGGACAAACATCAGAATCTTACCTTAATAATGATGGCCAGTATCCCCGTCATCATGATCAGAAACTGGAAGGCGTCAACCCATATCACAGCCTTGAGCCCGCCCTGTACATACATAATGAAAAGTGCTGTAGTAGAATATTTCTATTTCATGTAATTATTGTGTTATTGCATACCATTGTCACAGTTTAACTTTAGATCACGACCTCCTTAATGATGACAAATTCATCATGATGGCAAGTATTTAGTACACAGTAACCAATATAAAGTAACTAAACAAGAGAACCTTGATATAACGCCCCTCGCTTCATTTGCCACCTCGTTTACTGCCAACATCCTCCAAAGTTCCTTTTTCTTGTTTTTGTAGAATTTACCAATTTCCCTCAATTTATCGCAAAGTCCTTTTATGACACCAAATTTTTTCTCGACAAATGGTGGAAGTATATATATATATTGCACATGTGAATTAAGAAATTAATATATGGAGAACGCAGATTTTCACAGTGAAGGGTGAATATTTGATGGGGCAAAAGTTTCCCAGTGTTGAGTATTCAGTATGAACAACTGTGCATACAAAATGTTTTGTGTATGAACCCATCTTATACATCCTATTGTCATGTAACAGTAAATTAGAGAGCTGTGTGCTTCCAGCAGAGATCAAATCAGTGCCCCCCTGCTTCCCAATCTTCAGCTCTAATGATTAAGCTAAAGAGAAATTCCCTGTAGTGTAGAGCTAGAAAATGACTATAATCTGTAATGTGTATTTAAAAAAAGTTTTGAACCGGTGAGTCCCAGCTTCCAAGCCTGAAGATCAACGTGGCAATTTAGCTAAAGGGAATTTCCTCTATGAAAGTCTTATATTGCTATGATTCATACTTATACTATATGATTGATAAAAATGCATAAAGGTTGCTTGACATGCAAAATAACAAAACCTAATGCATAATGCACAACTCTGTCTATGGATGTAATAGAATTGTTCTCACTTAAATTGGGAATTCAGTCCAAAAAAATTATAAACCGATTATGCAATCGATTATTGATCAGTTTATTACTTGTGATTACCAACCAATTATCAATAATGATTTTAAATCAACTAAGGATCTCACCACCTAAAAAACTTCAGATCTTTTTCAAAACGAATCAAAAACTTTTTAAATCATGGGGGAAAATAGGAAAATGGAGGAAGCCCTCTGAAGAGAGTAAGAATCACACCGCTGTCATTATCTTAAAAGTTGAATTTCATCTTAGAAATTTTTTCCATCCAACATATCAATTTGGAAATTAAAATTGGGTTCTGGGTATTAAACACACTTCACTTACTAGAAATGTGTACAGGGTACACACAACACCGATCGTGACGAAGGACGCCCACTCCGGGAAACCAGTCACTGAAACAAAGACATTAATACCACGCTACGTTATACACTGCCCTGACAATATTTATTGATAACTTCTCTCTACGAAATGAAAAGCTTTCTCTATCACTCAAGTCTAACAAAATAACAAACTATGCCATGCACTGCCCTGAAATATTTATTGATAAGTTTTCTCTCAGGAATGAAAAGCTTTCTCTATCACTCAAGTCTAACAAAATAACAAACTTTGTCACGCACTGCCCTGACAATATTTATTCATAACTTCTCTCTACGAAATGAAAAGCTTTCTCTATCACTCAAGTCTAACAAAATAACAAACTTTGTCATACACTGCCCTGACAATATTTATTGATAAGTTCTCTCTACGAAATGAAAAGCTTTCTCTATCACTCAAGTCTAACAAAATAACAAACTTTGCCACGCACTGCCCTGAAATATTTATTGATAAGTTTTCTCTACGAAATGAAAAGCTTTCTCTATCACTCAAGTCTAACAAAATAACAAACTTTGTCACGCACTGCCCTGAAATATTTATTGATAAGTTTTCTCTAAGGAATGAAAAAGCTTTCTCTATCACTCAAGTCTAACAAAATAACAAACTATGCCATGCACTGCCCTGAAATATTTATTGATAAGTTTTCTCTCAGGAATGAAAAGCTTTCTCTATCACTCTAGTCTAACAAAATAACAAACTTTGTCATGCACTGCCCTGACAATATTTATTGGTAAGTTCTCTCTCAGGAATGAAAAGCTTTCTCTATCACTCTAGTCTAACAAAATAACAAACTTTGTCATGCACTGCCCTGATATATTTATTGGTAAGTTCTCTCTAAGGAATGAAAAAGCTTTCAAGTTTTTCTCCGTCACTGTATCACTGTATAATACACTTTCCGGGTAGTGTGTTATACATGTAGTGTGTTATACATGTAGAGAATCTATAAGAAATGACATGGTTTTCTAGATTGTTTTATTGACACATGTTAAACGGTACAACAACTGTCAGAATCTATGCTTCAATTTATTGAAGTGTATAAATTATACGTCAGGTTTCTGTTTCATACTGGTGATTTTTTAACAAGTTTAACAATGCTGAGGAGTAAATTTGGTTCTACTTCCTTTTGTACATCAATTTATTTATAAAAACTGCAATGAGGCCAATCAAGAAACCCTGCCTACCCTTTTTTTGTGCTTACCCTTAACTTTTTAAGGCAATTTTCAAAGAAGCACTATTAAAATCAAGATCCCTCTTCTATATAAACCATATAAATTATTTATGAAAATAAAATTTGTTACCTACCTACCCACCCTAAAGAGGTATGGCAGAAAACTGCAAATATAGCCATATACACTATATCTATGAAAGTGATGGGGTTTCCCGTACTGAAAAGAATACTTTTAACACTTTCCCATCCGAGGACCAACTTTTGAATAAACTTTTTGTGAACGTGATGTAATATGCAAAAACAAATCGTATTACAGAAAAGTGGTCCTACTTTGGGAAAGTGCTCAAAATAATGAAAAACAGGGGTGATCAAGTTTCTCTAAACTGCGACCGGTGTTTCTCGGGTTAAATAAGTTTGTAATTGCCAATATCTATATGTTTTATGTAGCCGAATGTGAAACGCAGTTAAATTGCAACTAGAAAATAAACGGTGCAGGTTCGAATCCTCCTTCAGTTATTTTTTTTTTTAAATATTTAGGCATGTGATCATTTGCCTTAATAAGGCAATGTTGTGGGGTTTTTTATCGATGGAAGATTTTGTTTACATTTTAATACATACCTAATGATTTATCAGTTTTGTTAGTAATAATTTCTTTACTATTTAGTGCAACATATTTCTATCGAAGCATGTCAACAATACCCTGTACACATGTACAGTACAGCTACGATTTGTAGGTAAGACACTATTTTTGATGAAATTTATGAATTGTTTCACCCTCCAACTAGCAATAGTAGTTATATCAAGTGCCTAAACACCAACAAATAATGCCGAAATACCAAATATGTGGTCTGTTTACAATAATCTATTCTTAGACACGGGATTCCGATATTGCTATCTGTATAAAAATACACGAGGACGTGTCATAACAGTGCACGGTTGGTGCGTGCACTAGCGTAACATAGCTTTGGGGAAATAGGCATAGCAACCCGCCATATCTCTTTTCCCAACATGTTACAGGAAACACATTTTTTTTGTCTGGCCTAAATTAATTTCTACTTACTTGCTTGAAGAGCTGTTGATGGTGCAAATGATGTGAGCCCTGAATATATCAACTGTAGAAAATAAAAAAACCAAAGTATATACATAAACATATATAGTTCTGTAATAACAGGCCCAATGGGCATGTATTGCTCACCTGCTTTTTCAAACACATACCAAAAATGTAGGTCAAGGTCATTTTCGTTCTCAAACTTTATCTCACACCATCCCAGGAAGCTACAGTACCAGCCAAGTATTATAATTCTATGCATTAAGAAGCCGTTTAAGTGTTTGACCGATTTGACCCCAGTGACCTTTGTTCGCAAAGACTTCATCAGTGACCTTCAAACTTGATCAAGATCAAATACATAAAAAACAAAACTGATAGCAACACAACTGATATTTCCTAATCTTAACATACTTTTTATTTCTGCACAGTTTTCTTAATCTATACATTTAAAATTATTTCCTGGGAAACTTTAGGTGGTTAACCAGTTACCGTATTTTACCGCAAATAAGCCCCCCTCCTGAGAAAAAAGATGGGCCAAAAGTTGGGAGGGGGCTTAATTGCGAGCAACCCCCCTGTTCACAAATGTCCGCCATCTTGGATACTCAGATGGAAAATATGAGTCTGTTACATAATTCAATAAATGTATAGACATTTAATTACCCCATATATATACTAAATATAGGTAGTTCCATGAGTACTTTTAGGATAGGCCTACCAGTTATCTATCAATGATCAGGTGAACACTAATACAATATAAATAGTATAGATATTTTTAAAAAAGAGGCACAGAAGGCAAAGTCATGAAATACTAGCTTTGCCATTTACTGACTGTAATGGGACAATTGCATAAAAATTTGAAGACATATAATGGAATCATATATGAAACCCAAGAAAAACTGCAAACATCATAATCCATGACAAGTTTATCTGTGTGACCCCTGCGACCTTGAAGGTATAGGTCAATCACTGAAACATTTCAGTAATTATATAATTCATCACAGGTAGCTTTGACCAAATACCATGACCTTAAATTTAGCTTCTTGCCAAGACAATTTCAAAAGCTTATGCTGACCTTTGACCCTGACCAATTTAAAAACTTAATTCACAAAGAGCCTTCAATAGACCCTTAAGCTTATGTTTTTTGATCCCCAAAATTAGTTTTGACTCTTGGATTTGAGTCTTCAAATTTTAGGGAAACTGATTTTTGACTTTGAAATTGCTATATGCCAAGAATAAAATTGAAATATCTAAATTAATTTATTCACTCACTCAAAAATGTTCCTTCACTCAAATACCTATCCCCATTTAAAACAAAAAAGATAACAGACTTTCATGAAACTTGAGACAATTATTGTTTAAAATTAAGACATGTATACAAAAGCAGGCCATGACTTACTGTGGAGATGATGTTGATGATGGTTCCTGTCAGTTTAGCAGCTCGAGAACTGAATCGGAGTTCAAGGTACTGCAACGGAAATAAACATAAATTTGTACAGAGGTTTGTTTAGTTCGCAAATTGGCTAGAGGGATTTACCATTAGCTCAATATGTAGTTCAGCTAAAGCAATGCAATAGTGTTGTAGACAGACCGGTGTGGGTTAATTTAAATTTAGTGCAGACACAGGTGGAAAAAGAAAAGATTTCTTCATGAAATTGCAATTTCCAGTTGACATTCACACTGACTTATAAAAAGCCATCTTAAAATCAAAATGATGTCAGATAGGACTTCTACTGACTGACGATTTACAGGGAATTAAACCACTTGTCAAGCTAGTACACAGCCAGATTAGAAACAAAGTACAAAGAAGGCTCAGTTACACTCTGTCGATTGAGCTAAGTTGTAGGGCTGTAAAGTCCCATACTAGCTGCATATTTTGAGCTATTTTCGTGTCATTTTTTTTCTAAAAGAAAATACTACAGAGTCACATTTCGTAATATATTTATCTTTTTTTTTTACAACAGAAGACATAAAAAAGTAGTTTTTTTAAAGTTGATGTAAAAAAAATGGAAATTTTACCTTTATAAAAAAAATATGTACCTCTATATATAAACTGTCTGTTTTTCGTCATCAACATGACCATAAAACCTATAGATTTATTTGACTTTGCTATATTTATATTCAAACTTAAATCATAGAAAATATAGCTCAATGCAGCTATAACTTCTATTGGTGGATATAGGTTTATATAGCTCAGTCATAATGTAGCGGAACTGGACAGGGGCGACCAGGTTACTAAACTCAATTGGTAGAACGTCCGTCTAGAGTTCGGAAGGTCCCAGGCTCAAATCCTGGTCTGGCCGTGCATTTTGCATCTCGTAAAGTTATGTTATTTTCACTAAAAGTAGTTTGGACTCAAGATTGGATTTGAAAGGAAAAGCCTGATATAATTAGTAATACAAGATATTTCTAGGAAATATTTTTGGACGCCTCTACATTTCTTTACTTGGAACTTTGAGCAACAAGTGAAAAATTATATCCGTTAATCAGAGTGGCTACGGTACAGAGGCCCGATTGGGGGTAACCCTGGGGATGTAATAAATAACCTACTTCAAATGATACTTTACCTCGTACATACTGGTCAACTTCAGCGGATAGAACAGTGGTACATAAACAACAGATGCCAACAACACCGCAAACATCTGTCCAAATGTATACAAGTAGTACTGAGTCCCCTTGGTATACACCTCAGCCGGGGCACCTAAAATCAATATGGCGGACTGGAACGAGACGAGGATGGACAGGGCCGTCGGTATCAGACTCATTTTCCTGTTTCCCATCAGGAACTCTCCGGTAGTTCTCTGTCTACCGCCTGCCAGGGCATGGTAAATACCAATTCCAACAGAAACCATGAGTAACACGACGAAAACGATCCAATCGTAAACATCGAAGACATGTGCCATGGCGATCTCGTGTCCAAAGCTTGCTGGGCCTGGAGTGCTTGGTCGAGCGTTATATGTTGTTGTGGCTCTTTACATTAGACATTGGCACCTTGCGTAACTGGGAGTGTATACCTAACAAGAAAACATTACAAATGTACATATCCGGATATAGACAGATTCGTCCTAACCTCATAAACCTACTGCTGTCGAGACTGTTGTCGCGGTGTTTCACAAACAACAAACCGGCACCACGTGTAAATCACAAGTGATGCAATAGACGTATCAACCCATAAAGTTAAGTTGCATGCAGTCAATATTGTGTCTAATACTGCAACCGTCGTCGAAGGCGCAGTACGATCCATTTGGGGCCTAACAAAATATGCTCAAATGTGCCATATGACAACCAAATTTTATTTTACACTATGAGCAGTAAGACGAAGCAATTCTAGTAAAGTTGACCAACACTGAAAACTGGTATGATTCATACAAACGCTTTGAAGGTATACCAAGATAGTAGGATTCAAACGCACTGCTGATCAAGATTATCCGATGTGAAATAGAAACAGAGAAACAGTTGCTATAGACCTCGAAATAGGATAGTTTTTGTCCATCTTTTCCATGTTTCCCCCCAGCTATAAGTAGCTTATACTTAAGTGTATGAAGTGGGCAGTTAAAAGAGTTGTCATGATGAATTGTGAGCTTAGGACCGTATGTCAAGGTTGCGTTGACTTTCATTATGTAACTTAATGTTAGACTAGCACAAGTCCTTGTGGGTACAAAGTAAAACTGACGTAGGATACGCGCCTTTCGATACAAACATACTGTCCATTTATGCCTGAACATTTAAAGAGTGGAATGAATACCATAAATGATAGAAATTAAAGTTATAACTGTTACTAAAATCAAGAAAAGGAATATCTAATTTGCTGTTTCTGGTTACAGTCTACTTTCGATTTGCAAACTGGTCTTTTGAAGCTAAAGCAAATTCAGCATTGGACATTTGGAATTTCTCGACTATTAAGGCGTTAGACAGTTAGACATACGAAAAAATCGTTTTCATTGTTTAGTCACGGAATATTCACTTTAAATATGTTCACGGTTTTAGCGGTTTTAATATCAATTGCTCCCAATGCCCTGTTAAAACATAAAACATTTTTTCATTTAAATAAAAACTAAAATGAATGAACAAGGTAACGCCTGAGTTCCTTACATTTACACTTAGCAAGTTACCATTGCAAAAACAAAAATTGACATTTCATTAAAAAAAAGATTTCCAGTAAATCCTTAAAGTTGACATTAAGTGAAAACATAATTACATTGTTGCATGCTAAGGTTAAACTTTTACCTATAATCAAAACAGTTAGTGTTGTCTTCAGTCGAATATTGCCAGGCCAAAAAAAAAATACCAGAAAACGTTCGCTATAGACCGGTAATGGGACAAACAAGAACAGTCCTTGGTCATGTTGAGTAGGTGGTAGATATACATGTATACAGTGTAGACTTTCTACCTGTCACTAAGTTTCCAGGAAATATTTGGACCCCTCTACATTTCTTTACTTGGAACTTTGAGCAACAAGTGGACAATTATATCCGTTAATCAGAGTGGCTACGGTACAGAGGCCTGATTGGGGGTAACACTGAGGATGTAATAAATAACCTACTTCAATTTATACTTTACCTCGTACATACTGGTCAACTTCAGCGGATAGAACAGTGGTACATAAAGAACAGATGCCAACAACACCGCAAACATCTGTCCAAATGTATACAAGTAGTTTCCAAGTTTCCAAGCTGTATTTAATTACTACATGTATTAGCTTATCTCCCCCTAAATGTAGTTTAAGAACTTGGGAACTGTCATCCTTTCACTTTTTCTTTGAGTGTCAACTTTTTAACAATGAAAAGCGTATTTTGTTTCAAAATTTGAATGCCTTAGATATAGATTTAAATTTAGGGATTCTTTTGTTTGGCAAACTGGATCTTTCGGTAGACCTTAACTCTTACGTTTTTAAACATGTGCATCACTTCATCAAATCCAGCAAAAGATTTTGAACGGCGCTTTTTTAAAGTTGTGTATTTGTACCTGTGTGAATATTATATATACATATACCTACTTCATGTGTATGCCTGTTATCAATGTTGACATGTAATTGTTAATTGTAACAGTATGGCGGGAGAAGGCTGTGATAAGTTGTAATAACTTGTGCCCAATCCCTTGTTCAATTTTATTGGCAATAAATATTTTTAAAGTAAATCCAAATGATCAAAATTGTAAGGGGGGGGGGCAGTCCATACAATATGTCATATAGTAAAACTGTTGGGAGTTGTTTCAAAAAGTCGTTAATAGACGGGTGGTTGCCATGGTAAAAAAACACAGAAAATTAAATAACAAAAAAAACCACTTAAAAGGTTTGTGGCCATCTCATGATCTGAAACTTCTTAACCCTAAATTGTCTTCTGTTTTTAAAGATATTTCGGAAATGTCTGCTAATGACCCGTGAAGCTAACAATATTCTTAACCACCATGCATGGCGCCGGTCATCGCCGAACTACAACTGGCATTACGTCGTCGTTACATATCAGAGATATTATGTTGATGATTTTAATAAAATACACGATGATGTTAATATTTATCTGACATTTTATCGACCTACAGCTAACACGAAAAAGAAATGATAGTATTATAACAAATCTCAAATCTCTCTTACGGTAGATATCACAACAATAAAACTGTTGGTCTGTTACAAAGATAACACTAGTTACCATAGCCACTTAGGCACTATTGCTTTTCAGGTTCACACTTGTTTTTACCCTTTCGTTTGTTTGAGATATTTTCCTTTACCGTGTTTGGTTTGTTTTTTATTGGCCCTAAAGTTCTCCTCTGTGATGATTGGCCCTACAGTCTTCCTCTGTGATGATTGGCCCTAAAGTCCTCCTCTGTGATGATTGGCCCTAAAGTCCTCCTCTGTGATGATTGCCCTAAAGACCTCCTCTGTGATGATTGGCCCTAAAGTCCTCTTCAGTGATGATTTGCCCTAAAGTCCTCCTCAGTGATGATTGGCCCTAACATTCTCCTCTGTGATGATTGGCCCTAAAGTCCATCTCTTTGATGATTGACCCTAAAGTCCTCTGTGATGATTGGCCCTAGAGTTTTCCTCTGTGATGATTTGCCCTAAAGTTCTCCTCGGTGATGATTGGCCCTAGAGTCCTCCTATGTGATGATTGGCCCTAACGTCCTCCTCCGTGATGATTGGCCCTTAGGTCCTCTTCTGTGATGATTGGCCCTAAAGTCCTCCTCTGTGATGATTGGCCCTAAAGTCCTCCTCTGTGATGATTGGCCCTTAGGTCCTCTTCTGTGATGATTGGCCCAAAAGTCCTCCTCTGTGATGATTGGCCTTAAAGTCCTCCTCTGTGATGATTGGCCCTAAAGTCCTCCTCTGTGATTATTGGCCCTAAAGTCCTCCTCTGTGATGATTGGCCCTAGAGTCCTCCTCTGTGATGATTGGCCCTAGAGTCCTCCTCTGTGATGATTGGCCCTAAAGTCCTCCCCTGTTATGATTGGCTGTTAAGAGTTCTAGTATTAATAACTATACCCATTTTCATATGATACTTTATTAAACACACTGTGGCGATTTGTCGATCTATACTTTCATTATTGATCGGAATTGTCATCATTTTTAAATTTGCCTTTCATTTGTTCGTGTGTGTGTGTGTGAAGGGAGGCGGAGAATGGGGGGGGGGGTCAGATTAATTTTGGACACGGGAAAAAAGTGTTGCCCAGGCAACTAGGGCAACGACCCTGCATTTGTTGTCCGATGGATTTCGAGTTCCAATTTTTATCGTGTGTTAATGCTTTTATATATTTTGTTCTTGTGTATTTACACTTTGTTGGCGTCGGCCGATCAGTTTCTGAGACTTTGAGGCGAAATTGCCGAAATAGACGAATTGGAGCAAAATCTAACTACAACGTGCTTCGCGTTGTTGATCAACAATTATTATTCTATACTTTTACCTGAATAGTTAGTTTGCTCTGAAAACAAGAAAATCAAATCGTCATAATTGAACGATGTCATCACGTCCCCAGTCTCTGAGCGGCCGTCTAATTATAGCATGCTATATGTACCGTAATTCTGGCGCGGACGCCATCAGGAAAAGGTTTACAGAATTATTTCGACATTGTCTCTGCCGTATTTTTGAATGACAACAAAAAGCCTTGCATAGGATATATTTACATTTACTAAGGATGATGAAGAAAATCAGTCACAAAAAAAAACAAATAATGACATCATACTTTTTGGTGTCGTCTGTAGAAAAGTCAGACGACATGACAGTCACTCGGTTTTGTACGCAGACGATGATGAGTTGTGGTATATATAAAACATTTAAAAATACCTTGTTTCTTTGTTTTTTGATGTTGGTTTTAATCAAATGAAAGGATGGTAGTTTAAAAATGACTACTTTTCTGCAGGTATATGAGTAAAATAGTGTGAATTACTTTAAAGTGTTTTCGCTTCCTTTCTGTTAAGTGTTATTTTCACTACCCACAACCTGATGACGTCAACAAACTTGCGGTTTGGGCGCAGCGATGCGCGAAAGAACAGGTACAGCACAGAAACAGACCAACTGACGATATATCTTGACGTTAGACACTCTGTGGTATATTTTCTCGCGTGTAAATGCAGTGATTTATATTGCTTTTTATTAGTTCTGTAACATCCGTGCCCAATAAGATCAATGCTACATGTAAGATATTTTAGTGATATGAAAAAAAAGTATTTTGATTGTTTAGTCACGGAATATTGATCACTGCACATATGTTCACGGTTTGGGTGGTTTAATATCCATTGCTCATTGCCCCCGTTAAAACAGTAAAGAATGCGGCATGTAGATATATCTGTAAGTTTTTACTTTTGTTTATAAATACATTTTTCCTTTTAATGTAAACTAAAATGTATGAACAATGTGTTTTAACAGCATTTGTACAGGTACAGAACTGGCGACAGAACAATTCAAAAACTGAGTTCCTTACGTTTATAGTATGCCAGTTGTCAGTGCAACAACAAAAAAGTTATATATTTTTTTAAATCCAGTAAATCCTTAAAATTGACACTGAGTTTAAACATGTCGTAATTACATTGTTGCATGCTCAGGTTAAATTTCTCTTACGATCAAAACAGGTAGTTTTTGCTGAAATTTAGACAATGTAAATGTAAGGTCAATTTAATTACTGTTAGTTTCAGGGTATTTTTTCGCGTGTAAATGCAGTAATTTATATTGCCATTTATTAGTTCTGTAACATCCTTGTCCAATAAGATCAATGCTACATGTACGATATTTTAGTTGTCTAAACGCAAAGATGTAAGAAGGCTAGCGAGATGGTAGCACTACCGTCAAAAGTTCAGTCATAGGAATATTGACGTAATAGTGTTTCATTGTTATTACCCGGCTTGCACTTTAGGAGCATGACATTATTTAGATTGTACGTAGACGTACACGACAGGTGTCGTCGGTGGATCAGATTTAATACGCTTACACTTCCGTATCGCAGTTTTTATGAACATTCTCATTGTATATTCCCAAGGACTCTGAATAAATATTTGATAAAAACAGCAACACAAAGTTTCATTTGAACTCGACATCACATTGAGCAACATATTCTTTCTACATAACGTAGATATAGATAAATGTTTAACATAAAATAAAGCATATCAAATACAAACATCAACATGAAATTAACATATCACAGATAAGAGGGATATTGTTGGCTGATCCTGTGTCCATAACAATAGTTAAGTTTATTATCTTCAAAATTACTCATTGTCCTTGCATATTTGGTCGTAAGCAATGGTTGTTTTCTGCACTAAAAAACAAACCGGAATTTATTTAAATTTTAAACCTGAGAGACAGATGTAGACGGACCGTTGCGGAGTGTCGGGGTATTACAATTGTATAAAAGGGTTTATGTTTTTTTGTTGCAGTTTTATATGTGTCTGCCGTATATGTGTCTGGTTGTGTGGAGACCTCTAGAAGGGTATTGCAGTTTTATATGTGTCTGCCGTATCCGGTCTGGTTGTGTGGAGACCTCTTTAAGGGTATTGCAGTTTAAGCAGACTAGACACAATATGTTGTATTTACTATTGTTTAACATTGTCACTATATAACCTTACCACATTCAGATGACGTTCATCAAGCTGTGAATTCCGTGACCCGCTTATTGACATTATCATTATTATGACGTCATAATTAATTGCTACGCTGCCGGTATACCAGAAACCCGTTATTGACAGACGGCTGTTTATTCACGAAAACACATATAAGATGCATACACTTATTTTAGTTAAATGCTGAATTTCGATACAGTTTAATTTTCTATGATTCTTACATATTCCAAAAATGGAAAATACAAGTATTGAACTGACTTTCAGTTGGCATGCATAGGGAATATGAATGCCAAGTGAAAGCATTACAATGCTTAAAACGCAAATATGAGATGAGACACACGTTTACAGGAGAAACTCTATCAATGGAGTAGAGATACAAACATAACAATCATCTTGTTCCGTTTATAAAGTAAAGAATACAATCTTATTTTTGCAAATGATCTGGGGGGAAAATAAGAGATTTAAAGCGAAATACTGTTTTCAATGTTTATATTTTACTTTTTG